ACGTGAATATTCTGTAAAATACGGGTTAAAGTCGAGTAATCTATCAGTTTATATGTGTTTCGCTGTGCACTTGGCTTTGTATTTGCTGTCCATGTTTTGCGTACTTCAAGATACCATGTTTGACGAGTTTTTTGAATTGGCAATTTCCACCAAGCTACAATATAGGCATTACGCTGCCATCACCGAGTTTTACACGTTTGGCTGGCCAGTATTTATCATGTACATTTATTTTGAGATATACCATAAATATTTACTTATTATAGAAGTAATGTATAATAAAATGAAATGTTTTGACAGAATATCCGATAGAAAATATATGTTTGAAATTTCTAATACAATAAATAAATTTTTAATTAATGATAATTATATGTATGATGTTATATTGTGTAACGTTAAGTACATGTATGCTATTTATAGTAGTTTTATTATAATTGAATTGTATTTTATTTATGAAGCACATTTAAATGCTAGTTATTTATCATGTGCCAATATGTTTCTGTTGACTATTATATATAATATTTATTTTTATGTAATTGTAATAAAAATACATATAAAGAGAAAGTATTATTTAAAAACTTTACAGAAACTTAATACATGGCATAAACAATTGCACGATGGTGCGATATAATTGTGAATTAACAAAATGTAATTTTACCAATAAATACAATTAAAAGTTATCTATTGTTATAATTAATTTAATTCTACAGGCTTATATTTAAGCCCTAATTTAAACACTTTGGTGTCTCTACTTATAAATTAAACATGACAATATTTAAATAGTTATTTAGAAAGGTTGACTTATTCTAACCACAAACTAACCAAAAATATAATTTTTTAAATAATTTGTAAAATATTTTTTAATTTAATAAATTATGTAAAGATATATTATATACCGTATGCTATAAATTCACAGTAAACATATTCAAGATGTGAAAATCGGTGCATAAGTTACAGAAAAAAACAAATAGTACAGCATTTGACTTTTTGACATCATAAATTGATTTATAAATATAAAATCTTACTTGTTATTACTATTAACTGGCTTTATAGTAATGAAATTTGTTTAAATGTAATTAATTACAACATGCTATTTCAATATACAGTATACTCTAACAATGCAGCTAATCTTATTTGCTTATTAATTAGTATTGGATCGATATCTAGTATTAAATTGAAAGACACTGTGCATTACCGTATAAATAAATGACAAGTATGCTACTTAGCATTATGTCATATAATATCATTTAGTGTGTTGTGAAGCAGACAATAGAGCAAGCATATGTTTGTCGCCCACGAATATTCTGTCACAATATATATTTTATAAATAGTTTAAATTAAATACTTATATTAATTATAATTATAATTAATACTTTTGTCGCATTATCACTATTATATTATATTAGCCTGTGTTTAACGATCCAGTTTAAATATAATGAGTTACACTACAAATAGCACACTATAATTACCGTAATGAATGCTAAAAGCAGTGGTGTTTGTGATCTATTGATATGGCAATAAATTATTGTCAATAATAATCAAGATATTTTTTTATTAATAAATAGTTTCTTAAAGCAATTGACAATATCCAAACATAATAATTTTGTGTAATAAAACTAAATAACAATTTTAATCAAATATTAATTTATTGTAGGGTAAGTTTTCAAGAGGATTGAAATGTAAAATCTATATGATAAAAACTGTTAAATTCCATAAACTCGCTTGCACAATACATTAAATAGTGAATAATGCTCACATTCTTGATGTTTTGTATTATGATCCAAAATAATCGCAATATTATATTGTTCATACTGATATCTGAAAAGCATTATTTAGATAGAAAAAATATTTTGCAATTTTATGAGCTATGATGCATAAAATATTGCATTTGATGCAACATTTGATTCATGTAATAATGTTTTATGTGCTAACATACATGTATATTTCAATTAATTAACAAATTGCTAATATTTGCCAATATTATTATATTTTCTTATATTAAATTGACCATGTTTACAGATCATTTTTATTCAAATTATAAATTATTTTATTTGTTTTAAAAGTAATTTTTTAAATATAATTATTTTTAATATTTACTTAATTAAAAATAATGTTTTATTTTATATTCATGATATTGAAATATTTAATATTATAGCTTTTATTGTTGGTGCGATAATTAATTATCCTAAGCTTTATTTAGATGCACATAAATAGTAATCCAAAATCTTTATGATGAAAAAAACTAATTATTTAAAGCAAACAATAATTTAAGATAACAATGAAAAGTAAATATGATTTACTATATATACAAGTCATAGAGAAAATAGCATCAAAAATCTTATATCTAGCCTATGAACGGCATTATAATTTAATGATGCTTACAATCCAGTGATCAATAATACATGTTATACATTATGCTGAAAGATTTATAATATATAACATGTAAAGGGTGTGTACTATATATGTCCGGTATTCTATGACTTATATGATAGCCATTTTACCCATGATTATAAATATTTTTCTTTTCCTTGTGTAATGGAAACTTCAGAGGAATAATTTAACTTTAATTTGCCATACTGAATATTTTAATCAACCAACGTTTAGAATGCCACGAACAATTTTATTAAAAAATTTCACATTTCAATTATTATACATTGTACAGACCTAGTTTATTTATTGAAATTGTTGTGTCAGATAGATGGTGTTTATTTGATAGATTGACCATGATAAGTTATAAGTTTATTTAACATAATATTTAATTTTGCCCATATGTACTTTACACAATCATTTTATTGCGGAATTTGTCATTTATGCATTATATCTCATTAAAATAATTCACAAATGGCAACCATCAAACTTATTATGTTAATTAAAAAGCTTTTATTATAAATCAATATTATTTCTTAAAATTCTGTATTATATTTTAATTCTATAGAATATAAACTTAATTTTCTATTGTTATTTTACAAAAAAATTATATCAGTTTAGATATTGTCGTTGAAATGATCGGGGTATTATTGAAATTATATTATGAGTACATAGAAACAAAATAGAGTTTATAAGTGTTAAAAAATACCAGAGTTTATTAAAATCGGATAATAAACACCTGATCTACAAGTGTTGTAATATGATACTCTTGTAATGCTTTCCTATGGAAAAAACTATACGGACATATATACTACACACCGTTTATATTCATAACCAGCAGTCCTATCTAACATTATAGCATCAAATTGAAAGTCCTTTTACCATGGCAACGAAAGGCCTTTTTCAGAAATTGCTTTTGACTAATCTATAAAATATTTAAATATATTTACTTTCACTATGGTTATTGTTAAATCATTTTAATTGTTTTTCTATCACATTCTTATACCATGTACATTATATGTGCTTTACTGTGTATTGTATAATGATTAATTATGTTCGACCATATATTATATAGTTAGTCTATTATTATTAATTTTTATTACACGTGCTAGATTAATGAATATTGAATCTGGTATAATTCATTGGGTATTATTTATAAATTAATTATAATAACCTTAAGAGTTAAAATGTTATACTAGCATATTTATTAATTTCTATAATTATCATCAATCTTAATTACAATAACTTTGTTTATAATAAAAACCATAAATATTCATTTAGCATGTGCAATATTTACTTATAAAAGTTACAAAATATTTTTATTTCATTATGTAAGTATCTTCTGTGATATTTGTGTAACACATCAACAAAATTAAAACAGTAAATATTTAAATGATTAATATTTAAAATATAATTCATTCATTAAAAAAATTTAATTAATTAAACTAGTTTGTGTTTATTTAAATCATCATAATATTATTTGTTAAACCAAATTATTTAAACCAGCATAAAACAAATGAAAGGCTAAGAATAATATTCTAATATATTAATAATATAACAATTATAATAATGTTTGAGTGCATTTTACTAGCGTATGGATTATGTCCTAGATACAAAACAATTTCCTACATAATTAATGGCATAGCGTTGACCACATTTATAAGCTATACATTTGGACCGTTGATGACCATCAGCATCGATGATAGCCCGGCCAAGTTGGGAGTGAAAATTGTCATAATTATTGAGCAAGTTAATTTAATAATTGCATACTTGTTTTGTATCCGCAATTCCCAACGTATATACGAATTAAATGCAGAATTAAACGATTATTATATGAAATACGAGTTACCCATCAGTAATAAGTCGTCAATTATTTATTGTTGCATACATTTTGTGTCATATATTACCGTATTATACACTGTGATCATTGATGAATACCTGGATCAGTTTGGTAAACATTCATACTTCTACGTAATGTTTCGCAACCACGCGGCATTGTCACTTTTTTATCAAGTTGGTTGGTCGCTGATGATCCAGTTCATTTATTTTGAGCTATACTATAAGTATCTCAATATAATAACCGCAATGAATGCCAAACTCGACGGCGTTTGGGATGTATTAAACGGAAAACACATGTTTGAGGTCTCGATAATAATCAAGAAATTTTTAATTAATGAAAATTTGCTAAACAGTTATGTTTTGTATAAGATTTATCACATTTATATAATTATGATATTTTCATTATTGATACAAATTTATTATGTTTATTTTACATTTATTAAATACACTTACTTAACAATGGCAGCAATAAGTTTATTGTTATTTGTTTATAAAATATATTTTATAGCAACACAAATTATTTTGTTCATTAAAAAACGACAGCATGCTGAAATGGTGATTAAATTAAGACAGTGGCACGAATTAACCTTGGATAATTGCAGTATAACAAATATTGTATAATAATTAAGCCTATTCACTTAATCATTATATCTTCTATAATGTAAAACACAATTACAATTAAATTATAAAAATAAAATGATACAAACATTTTAATATAATAGTCTTTATTTAAACAAAATTTTGAACAAAATATTATTTAAATAAAATAATAATTACAAACCATGAAGTGACATGGCTTATATGGGTGTGACACTGCAATCAACAACACCCTGGTCAATCATGCCCACTATTTGCGCGCCACCCATGCTCAGGTCGAGTATGCGTCCGGCCACAAATGGACCACGGTCAGTGACGGTCAACTGCACACTGCGACCATTGGCATCGACTCTGATCTTGGTGAAACATGGGAGTGACGGGTGGGCGGCAGTCATTTCCATCATGTGAAAGATTGTGCCGCAAGCGGTGGTCCCGCCATCAGCGCCCGGGCCATACCACGAACACTTACCCGATTTACCTGGTTAATTATGTTAATAGTTTATGTAATTTAATTAACATTTTTGAATGTAATTTATTTTACAATAAGATAAAACTTACAGCAAACCATCGATGTTATGGCGAATGCAATCAATAAAACAAAAAGTTTATTCATTTTGTTTAGCCAACGATTTTGATTATTTTATTAATTGTTAATTAATTTGTATAACTAATGGAATCAATTCGACCCTATTTATAAGTGAAAATATTGTTTGCCTTAATCCGTATGTATTGAGCAAAGGTCCGGACACTTGAGTTTTGTTTTTAAAATATGATTTCAATTAATTAATCAATTTCATTAATTTATCAATTTCCAAATTTGTATATTGTTATAATATAGTGTACATCGTATAAAACTATACTTTTTATTGGATAACATTATATAATCTAGTTGTTACATGTATTAAATCAAACGTAAAATATTTAATGTTAATATTTCCATAATGTGTACTTCATTTATTATTATCTAGTAATTTATTTTCTGATATTAAATGGGTACACATTATCAATTCCATTAAGAATATAATTATTAAAGGTATTATATACATTTGTAGATTAATTTAACGTTTAGATTACAAATGCACTCACGGGGGAAAATTGGACAAAATCTGTCATATTATTTAATATATTCAATTCCAACAAAGTAATTATTAGGAACTTATATTATAGTTGCCAAGTTTCAAACTCAACATTATATTTTAAAGTTGTTATTTAAAAATTTATAATTATTCAAATTAATGCATATACATTGTATTATGTATTAGACTATAATGTATTGTACTGTATAGAAATATTACAAAATGTATTTTTTAATTAATGGTAAAATATTAATAAAATTTTTGATAATCGCACTTGAGTTTATTGTTTCATATTATGTTATTAATTTATCAATAAATGTTTGTAGATTAGGTGGAATACAATCTGTGAAAATATATACATTTGTACTTTTTATCAATAGAAATTAAATAATCTACATGTTACAAATCACTATAAATAATGTTTAAAACTATAGTTAAGTATTAAAATAATTTCCATTAAAAAGATAATAATTAGTGAAATTCAATTCATTGAAATATAAAGCATCTAACATTTAAATTTATTTAAGATATTTACATTTGTTTAAATCCGTATTTTTACAATTAATAGCAAATAAGTAATTACCGTCAAGGTTATTTGCTAAATTGATAAATTAATGAAATTGATTAACTAATAGAGATTATATAACAAAAACAAAACTCTAATATCCGGACCTTTGCTAAATACATACGGATTAAGGTAAACCATATTTTCCCCTATAAATAGGATGGACTTGATTACATTAGTTATACAAAATAATTATCAATTAATTAAAAATTAAGTAAAATAATTGGCAAAACAAAATGAATAAACTTTTTGTTTTATTGATTGCATTTGCCATAACATCAATGGTCTACTGTAAGTTTTACTTTACTATAAAATACATTAAATTAAAATTGTTAAATTGTCTAGCTTAATGTTAATTAAGTTACATAGATGCTATTAACATAATTAATAACTAAACAGGTGAATCGGGAATATGTTTGTGGTATGGACCGGGATATGATGGCCGGACCACCGCTTGCGGCACAACTTTCCACATGATGAACATGACTGCCGCCTACCCGTCGCTACCATGTTTCACTAAGATCAGAGTCGATGCCAATGGCCGTAGTGTAAGTTGACCGTCACTGACCGTGGTCCATTTGTGCCCGGACGCATACTCGACCTGAGCAAAGGTGGCGCTAAAGTAGTAGGAATGGTTGACCAGGGTATTGTCAATTGCAATGTCAATGTCATATAAACCCTAACACTTCATGGCTTGTAATTAATTATTTTATTTAAATAATATTTTATGAAAAATTTTGTTTGAATAAAAACTATTATTTGAAAATATTTGTATTGTTTTATTTTAATAGTTTAATTGTAATTGTGTTTAACATCTATGTGTAACATTTAAATAATCACTATTTATGTGATAAAAATATTTTTATTGTCGTGATATTATATGAATTACACAATTAAATTACAATTTAAAATAAACCTAGTATAAGTAAGTAATTACTGGCGGCAATGTATAAAAACTGATAAATTTCATAGCTATTTACGGGAAACATATTATAACAGTTATACCCGATCTGAGGTCCGGTCGACAACCGGTACACAAATGCCAATACTTTAAGCCTATATCTAAGAGAAATGCGACGATTTGTGGCCAAATATGATAACAACAGCGCCTGTGGTTTGTGAGCGCTTTTGGGTATACAGACCAACATATCGTATACCAAATATACTACAAATACATTATAGTAACCAACGATTGCTAGTGTAATGCGGGTTATAATAGTAGACTCGGCGTTATGTAAAGCATATAAACAGAGTTCAGCAAAAAATGTCATTAAATAATAGCCAAAACACACAATCCATCGGTAAAAGTGGTCCGCATTCGCGGTCTGTCTCTCGTAATAGTTATGTTCAACAATAGCTGCCATTAACTTATTATTGTTTTTGCTCTTAACACAAGTTATCATTTGTAAATTAATCTCGGTGAATTTATAATTTAGATATTTTGTCAATAATAACCACATGATAAAATAATATGCAATCATTAATAAGCCCTGGCTTAAAACAAATATTGTACCAACATTAATTAATAATATAGCAATTATATTACCCATAGTGTACAATTCAAAATATTTCATCATGATTACAGAACAGTTAACCAGACATATAAATACAATGATTAAATAACATCCAGCTCTAAACGGTATACTATTTACTAATACCATCCATCTTGTTAATTTTCTGGTATTTAATGAATTTAGACTGTATTTAAAGCCGTCATATTTGAGTTTATACAATAATCTATAACAATGAAACGTCATGGTACTTTCTTGGTAGTAATGCACATTAATTGTATTGATCATGGTCAGCGTACTAATTGATAAAGCTGAGTTAATCAGAAATCTATTGCCCCAATACTCGCTGATATCAAGTATTATATCCAGAATGAGGCGATTGTCAACAAAAGTCAATATCAGGGAACGGATTAACGCAACAAATATGACAATTCTTGATAGTATGGCCACAATTAGTCGCCGACTACTATAGCCCTGATAGTAGTGCGAACAGTATTGGTCGCTACTCGAGTAGAGTGAACAGATTTTATTGCCAAAAAATGACTCAAATCTTTCTATTTCAACCCCGATTGTTGTGTTTAACGGGAAAAATATATTTAATATTTTTTGTATAATTACGGACAACATGTTTGCAATGAAAATGCTGTGCAAATAAATATTTTACCTTATGTTGTTATGCAGTGTATTTTGCTTATTAGATAATTACCTTGAAGAGCAAGTTTTAAAAAATATTTTGCTTTTTAGTTGGAATGTTTTGATTCGTTCAACTTGTATGTTCCCACGTTCATTAATATATTTTATTAATAGAATGCATATACAACTAGATTCTGTACTAGCAACTAGATTTTTGTTATGCATAAAGTTTTGCTCAATATGGATATATTAGTTTTACAATAACATTTATTTGATATTGGGCAATAGAATATGGTTTCTATATTGTTGAATAATTTCTTTAAAAATGCTTTAACTTATTGTTTAATGGTAGTTATTTATCATTATTATCTAATAAACTAATATGGTTCAATAAAAATAGTATAACAGCACTGTATTATTAATTATGATTATCATAAAAATTTTAAAGTTTTTTTTAAATATTAATTATAAATTTTAATTAAATTTATTTTGAAAAATGTTATAAAATAAAAGTAGCTTAACAAATTTTAGGATTGTATGTTTCAAAAATTTAAATTTAAAATTACAATGTAATTAACAAATGTTTCTCATATTATTTAATAATGTAAAATAAATTTTGTATTTATATTATTATAATACTAGAGAATAGCCCGCAAAGGCGGTCAATCCCGTGCGGTACAATTAATATTCCTTACGTACCCAAACTATATTACCAACTCTCTCTCTCTCTCTCTCTCTCTCTC